TTTTTTCAATGTCTAATTAACGGTATGTAACCAGAATTTGTATATAATAATTTTTTATTAGAAATCATAACAACTAATATATTGATAAAATTTAATGTTATAACTTTTAATAATCTTAAATATTTATTATTCAATGATATTTTATTTTATATCTTTAACATACATTAGAATTGTTTAAATAATATATTAGATGATAAAATGTAATATGATGATAAAATATTAATTAGTGTTTGAACTGTATAAACTTTTATAAATATGATTCTCTTTATAAAAATTTAAATTAAACAGTTAAATTAATAAAAAAAGAAGCATTAAATATACTATTTTACTAATTTATCTTCTAATATCATTACCAGGCCAAAAAAGCATAGTATTTGATAAGAGAATCAAAATGGAAGCTTTCACTTTCCACGGAAACAAAGAATTCTACTGTCAGTAAAATATCGTGTGTGGTTTGAAAAAAAAAATGGTAGTTAATAATAGTAACGTAAAATTAAGAAATAATTTGAAAGGTAAAAACATTTAATTTTCACAGTTATCACATATATACAAATAAGTATTTATTATATATATAATTTAAATTACAAATATCGTTCGATAGTGATCTTATTTAAGTCGGATAGAATTATTGACAATAAAGTTTTTTTAAAATAACTAAACTTAAATTCAAACTATTAATTACGAGATATTAAATTTTGTCAATTCATTCACGAGTTTGATAATAAATAATAACACCTATTAAAAATACAAATTCAAAAATCTATAATAGAAATAATGTTTTATATCACAAAGATAAGAAAAAAAATCAAAGTAAGAAGTCTGGATTTAGTTGAAATAATTCGAGCAAATAAAAGTTTGGTTAAATTTTTTGTTTTTATTTTCTTAATCATGAGGTTGATTACTTTTTATTGTACGGATAAATGATTAAGAAAAATTAAACATATAGTATGAAAGGAATATGAGCAATGCAGTATGAGCATTTGTGGCTTTAACGAATAATGGTCCAACAATGTAAAAGTGGGTTTATGTAAAAGTCCATTAATCCCACTTTTTAATTCTTCTTCTTAGTGGGGTAGGCAAGCAAAATTATATATAATTGTCGCCAATATATTTTGAGTTTATTTTATCATTTTACGATCAGTATTTCTATCGAATTTTCTTTTTATAAAGTAAACATGTATTTTAAAATAATATAATTATTGATTGAAAAGTTAACTATTAAAATCATTCTCTTACAATATTTTGTCGTTAATTTTCCTTTTATTTAATAAGAAAGTGCTTAAAAAAATATGTACATTTAATGTCTTAAAACTAGAAAACTATTCAATTTTATCTTCAGTAAATAGAATATTAATAGAAGGATATTATAGGAGGATTCAAAATTATTTATTTTTTCATACTTTTTCACAATCTTAACAATTAATTATTATAATTATATACTTTATTCTTTAAAGTATACCCTTCACTTTAGAAGAACCAAATTCATTTTTAGAACACGTTTTAGAAACTTTTTAAGTGTTTTGCACATTACAATGATATATTTGATTTAGGTCAAAAATTTTAAGTTTAAAGAAATTTTAAGAGAAAAATATTTAAATTTATAATGGAAATAAGTATAATTAATTCAAATACATAAGAAAATTATAAGCAGTTCAAATTTAAGTTAGAAAAGAGAAATCTTTTTAAAAAAAATAAAAGGAATTGATTGAGATTATAAATAGTTGAGATTTGAAATGAAACGAAAAGTTTAATGTAAAAGAATCATTTATTAAATATGTTAAAAAAGTAAAAATATAAAAAAAAACATTAAACAATAATAAAAGTTAATATTTAAGAGAATAAGAGATACTTTTACTTTAAGAAAGTGAAGATTATATTTTGTTATATATAGCATAAATGAAAAATCAAACTTGATGGCCTAAAAAGATTAACATTAACAATGTAACCAATTCGTGAGAAGCCTGAGAAAAATTGGCTATTAAACTTGCATTAGAATCATGCATAAAATCCCACAAAATCTAAACCTATTATGATTGTCTAAAGAACCATTTCAAAAATAAAAATAGTGTGTGAATAATATGAATCCATAAAAAATATCAGCGGCTTCCACTTGCCGAATCGTGTTTGACTATGCTGGTTGAGAGATTGCAGCTTCTTGATTAAATTTTGCTTTTCTTTCTTTGGCCTTAGTAATTGCATGACAGCGTACACACAAAGTTTTCATTGCAAGAAAGATCACTATCACTGGGCCAATGACAGTTACAATTTTAATTTTTATCCAAAACTAACAGCTGCAATCTTCGTGAAGGTCGCAATAGCAAGCCAATTTGAGAAGATGGTTAGTGGAAACAGTCACACTATCATGATAGTGAAGTTGAAAGAGAGTAGCACTTGGATTGGTGGATATTTCCCCACCAAGTGGGTCGCAACTTTGCAAGAGGCCAAGCTACCTATCAGAGATAAGATATTCTGTGCCTTCCAATTTAAGCGTTACATGTTATTACCCGTGACACCACGAGTTTAAAAGTTTTATGCATCCATGCTTGCTACCATAAGAAGAAAAGACAATAGCATGTTGCAAAAAACTTTCCAAAGATTGAAATTCCTATAACCAAAATGGACTCCGTGATAAAACTTGGTGATAAAAAACTTGATAGTAAAGTTATTCACAGTTTTCAATGTAAGTGATAGATTATTGAGTTTGAAGAAATCGATTCCTTGAGTTTTACAAGAAATCGATTTCTTTTCTCATTTAAAGGATAGTAGATCAAGAAAATAACTAGATGCTCCCGTCACTGTATGTTTTATTGCAGCCGTATTTAAAGAACCCCGTTAACGGCCCCTTAGCATATCTTTGTTGTCCTTTATTTATCATTATCCCTTTGGATATGATATGACACCGAAGAAAAAGAAAAAACCTGAAGAGATTTACCACTTTTACCATCACCTATATTTCTGGCAAGGGATGATGACAAGATTACAAGATTTTTATTTTCAAAATCTATCTCTTCTTTACATGTGCTTGACATCATAAGGTATCTTGATAGTAATCAATATCCAGCTAAGTTGCAACTCATGCTTAAGTATTTTGGCCACTGTTTTCGCTGTCATTAATTAATAATAGAAAGTCCCACATTCATATCTTTTTCTCACGCATTTAGTCTATCTTCAACTACCAAGAGCCTTTGCGGGAACCCCACACAGACTCTGGCAACGTCAAAATATCCAATGGAACCTATCTTCTCACACCCATCAGTGTAGTACACTCAAAAAAGAAGAAGAAAAGGGGGGAAATTTTGGCAATGTAGAAAGCATTTGGATTTTGCTACGTTAGAAGTATCGTTACAGCATCCCGACATCACCACCATGGTATATGGTATTCTTATCATCTGCTCGATCATTAATTACATCGCTCCCGTAAAAATCGCTAAATAGGAAACATTGAATAAATTATTGGGGATTATATTAGCGAGGTCGATACTTAACAGACATAATAATATACAATGAATGTGGTACCATCTAAGTTGCAAGGTTGTTGAATGCAAGATCACACCATTTTCTTTTATTGTTTTGGAAAAAGGAGTGATACGACAATTCAAAAGATGTCTACACTTGAATTATATTATATCTTCCTATAATTTTTTTTTAATAATCCTCCTGCTAATCGTGAGTGCTTAACACCTAATTGTAAACGAAAAGGTAAATAAATTACAGTAACACTCAAATTACACACAAAATCTCCCTTTTTATCCTACAACCCTTCCCCCTAAAATTTATATACAACATGGGATTAAATATATTTTTATTCCTTAAAAATTTGTTTAATTTTAAGGAACTAAAAACACGTTACTTTTGTTAGATATAAGAAATAAGAATAATAAAATTTAATCAGGACTAAAATTGAAATTTAACAATTATAAGAACTAAAAATATATCAAACATATGACAAAATACAGGGCACTCTTAAAAATCACATTATTTTTTGTTAAATATAAGAACCAAAAAATAAAATAAAATATAATCAGGACTAAAATTTAAATTTGACAATTTTATAAGAACTAAAAATAGGCATTCTTAAAAACACATTATTTTTGTTAAATATAAGAACTAAAAATGAATAAAATTTAAACTAAAATTCAAATTTAACAATTTTATAAGAACTAAAAATATATACAAACCTATAACATAATAAAGGGCACTCTTAAAAACACATTATTTTTGTTAAATATAAGAACTAAAAATGAATAAAATTTAATAAGGACTAAAATTTAAATTTAACAATTTTATAAGAACTAAAATTATATCTAACCCTGCAACATAATACAGGGCACAATACAATCATTTGGATTTCTTATATCATTATGACATTATATGAAGTCAGAAACTCGGTATAATGTCAAAAAAAGGAGAAGTATCATACATAATTGTATAAAATCTCAGCTGATGTTAGTGTATGGAAATGGCCTTTTAATAGTCACACTACTCAAATTGCGGCGCTAATTAATGACATCTCATATCTTGCTTTCCATTTGCCAATAGTAACAAGCAGAGCTTCTGCTGACATAGGGAATGAGAGAGTATTTGAATTAGTACAAGACTTGGAGTGTGATAATGACGTTAGAAGCTCAGCTCTTTACCAAGTTACCTATCTTACTCTCCTGCTTAATATGAAGAGAAACTGGCACTATCCACCGAGTACATACATATATACATCGAACCCAGAAAACAAAGGAAAGAACCCGTAGCTACATTCTAACGTTGATGGATCATATTGCCTCCAAATTACTACAAAGGAATACTTGAACTGAGTTCAATCTCCGTGATTAATATGTTCAATTGGCTGAATTCTCAGCAATATGCATATAGGTGTTTGGGTCAATGACCTCAAGTCACAGATCACCCCCTATACTCTAACTGTGGAATTGAATATCCTGGGAACTGGAATTTAAAGAAAACTGTTCCTCTATTTCAAGTGAAAAGCTCAAAAGCCTTATGACTATCCCGCCTTTAATTTCCATTTACAGTGAAACCAATTTATAATTTAAAAGTACTGACAAAATAGACCAATTAAATTTTTTTCAGAGATAAAATAAGATATTCCAGAATCCAGTTACCCATTATATCTATACATGGTAAAATTAAAAAATAAAGTGCTGCAACAAATGTCAATGATTTAAATGATTTCATTTTCAATTGCAAGTGTTACATGGAAAGAAATTTGAAACACAGCAATCTTCTCTGTGGTCTGGGGTGAAAAAAGCTTTGAAGAAGAAACATATAGAAGGTTAAAGGAAAACAATAATGTTACAGAAGAAGTTGATGCTTTCACCTATCGGGCAATTACCACCATTGATGAACAAGAACACCACTTTGTCTAAGAGAATTGAAGAGCTCCAAGCATTGATCATATGTTTTCTCATACTTCGAACTCCTCTGCCCGGGGCAACATCTCTGCCACCTATTGTAATGGCATTCAAGAAAAATCTCATCTACCAAGCATATAGCCCCAGTTTTAAACAATCTCGGAATCAGTTCAAATTCAGTACCCTCCACATCCATCTTCATCACAACAAAATCATTCTTCGAAACCGTGTTCTTCAACCAGTCAGCAAAATCAAATCCCCGTATCTTCTCCACTTCACCATCAAACTCCCCAACACCCGACGATTTCAAAGGTCGAATCCTACCCATCCCCCTGCCTTTAACCTCAACCTGCTCCCCAGGATCACGATGAATCTCAAACGTCAAGGTCTCATTCTTCACCCATGCAGCATAAGGAACCAAAGTAATCCCCTTCTTCAGCCCATATTCCTGATGAAAAGTCTTATCAGCTTCAATTGCATAAACATGAAATGTCTTGTTCTGCTTAGGATACTGTTTCCTAAACCAAGACCCAATGCTAGAGCCATAGCTTCTAGCTCCAACATCAACATACAAATACCTATTCTTAAAGCTTATATCTACCATCGAAGGAAGGTACTTTATATTCTTTACATTCCTTTTCAAAGTAATCCATGGCTTCAATGGCTCCTCTTCAATCAAAGACTCGGCATTCTTAACCAAATCATGCTTATAACCAGGAACATAACACTTTCCATTTGAATAATCACCATCATATTTACCAGCACCATCACCACACTCTTTTTTCAAAACAATTTCACGTATATAAGGCATCAAAGGATCAAACCCTTCTAAGCCATGCAACTTCGTTACTCTGAAACAATTGAACAAATCAAGGAATGAATTTAAACTATACGTATCTCTAGGGTTTGCAAAATGGAACACCGCGAACCCTCCCGGTTTCAGCGTACGGCTAATCTCAGCCGCGAACTCCGCCGGCTTCGCCGACTTCTCGAAGCTTCCATCGCCGGAGAACACAAAATCGAAGGTGCCATCGGAGAACGGAATCCGGTCACCTCGGCCGGACTTCACCAGCGGCTTCGCCGCTTTCCTCGATATTCCGATGGCATCTCGAACGCCGATCTCCCTCAGCGCGAAGACGTCGCGTCCGGTCGGCGTCTCCACGCACAGCGACTTCGACTCCGGCGTGAGGTAACCTCCGGTAACCAGGTCCTGGAACACAGACGAGTAGAAACGAACGCCGTTGATCCAGTCCTTGCTGGTGTAAAGCTCCGGCTGCGAAGAACCACGGCCGGAAACAGACTCCACGGCGAGGGGACCGGAGCTGGCGATCACGAGGCTGAGAGACTCCGGCAGGGAGAAGAAGCAGAAGTCGCCGATGTTACAGGACTCGCCGGCTATGGAAATGACGTAAGCAAAACGAGCGCCGATGATGAAAACGCCAAATAGAAGAAACCGTATAAGAAGGTTCCGGAAAGCGCCAGGCTTGCCTGCGGCAGTTTCCATTGTAACGACTGTGCACTTACCCTTTTCCTTCACAGAAAAAATATTTCAAAAAAATGGTAAATTTCCAAAAATAAAGAAAAAAATTGGAGTTTGGAGGAACTTTTTCTTTTCCCCTATCGAGAACAGAATCTAGCTGAAGTGTGGTTGGCTCCAATTAGGGGTTTTGATTCAGTGGCAGAGATTGAGAAATAGAGAGGGAAAGGAGGGGCAAAACGGGGATACATGGTTAATGAATGAATATTAGCGCAGGGTTGGTATAGCTACGGAAAAGGGAAGAGCGAGTTCATGACTCTGAAAGCGTGACTCGGTGATGGTGGTGCTTTGCTTTTGCAGAGAAAGAGGAAACACAGTTAAGTGGTATGGGAAAGCGAAAAGCGAAGCGGATTCAGCTGCGTGAGTAAAGGAATTGAGTAAACCGTTGGTCAAATATTCTCGTTTGCGATATAGGACCCCGGAAGTTTCATAATTACAGGAATGCCATTTCCTAATGAGTATGTGTAATGAAAATAATAATAATAATAATTTTGCGCCGTTTTGGGCATTATTGATGGCTTAATATAATATGCGAAAGAAGAAACCCTGCGGAATGGGTACGCGGTGATTGTCAGCTTAGTTATGTCCAAGTGCCAAGCGAGCAACGATAGTTAGTTGTTCTTTTTCTCTATCATGATGATGATGATGTGCTGTTTTGGTTCCTTTTGCAGGCCCACGTTTTCCTTCCTTTCCACAATTATTGTTAAACTTCCTTTTCCTATTATAAATATATCAGAAAGAGAGAAATCGGCATACAAGGAAATATCTATATCTATATTTACAATGATAGAAAAGCATATCACTAACTCATTTGTATTCAATCCGAACAACATGATTTAAAATTATCAATTCCAAAAATATCAAAACGATTTTTTTTAACTTCCTTTTACTTTAATATAACCATCTTTTGTTTATTCCAACGAGACGCAAAAGGATAGAAAATTACTCCAGTATAATATTTAATTATTATAAAAATAAAAATTATAATATAGATCATGAAAATTTATTTAAATAATTATAATTTAAAAATTTACATAATTTTTTTAAATGATTATATTATTACTAACTAATATGTAATTTTATTTCTTCATATAATTTAAATTTATTGTTCTCGCAACTTTAAAATAAGAATTATTTTTATTACACATATTAAAAAATTGCACGATATTTTTAAATAATTATATAATTATTGACTAACTTTTAAGATTATAAAAATTATAAATTTTAGTTAAAAAATAAAACTAATTAATACATTTTTCTTTAATTATTTGTTCCACTCGTGTCCGCTCATAATGATGTTAAGTTAATATGAAAGTCTTAAAATATACTTAACAACCATTTGAGTTAATAAAATAAAAAATCTTATGCTTGTTCTTTAACGTGAACGATTTTCTTAACAAATAATCAAACACACTCAAAATATTCAGGGAAGGTCGAAGTATAGAGATGTACATCTTTTTCTGTCTCCGTCTAATAATATATTATTTATTTTAATTGTACCTATATTTTGTTTTAGTACGATACACAAATTTATAATACATTATTTTTTTATATGATGTTATTAAAAATTTTAAATATTTTTTATTTATGGTAAATATATAATAAATCATATTAAATTATTTAATAAGTATTTAAAATTTTTCTTTATCTTAAATTTATTATTGCAAATATATATAAATATCTAATAATAAACCAAAAATAAAAATTAAAAATATAAAAAAATTAATGAAATAATAAATTAAGAAAATCAAAATTAAAAAATATCATATAATTCTTTTAAACAAATATTTTATAATATATATATATATATATATATATATATATTATTGTCAATAATATTGAATATTTTTATATACCTATTTCATATTCAAAATTAAATAATATGAGACGAGTTATACTCTCAATTCATTATATAACTAACCTCAATAAATAAATACCAATGAATGTCATTTAAGGATCTTATAAATGAATATATTAAATACTAATTAAAGAATATTTAGTATATTCTAATAAATGTTTTTTATTGTTTAAATTATTAAATTGACCACTTTTAATATAATAAATGTATTTTATTTTATTTTATTTGTTTGTTTTCTTAATCTCTATCATTTAAAAGCATTCATTAGCATTTTTATTTTAAATTGGATGAAACATTGGCATAGATTTAAACAATTAGGAACCTGTTAGAATATTACTAAAAAAATATTATAATTTCTCTTTTCATTGTAGTAAAAAGATTTAATCACATAATTTTGTTTTAGGGTTTCCTCAAAGAGTTCATTTATTGAAAATAGAGAGAGACTACGCCGCCTTCTTTCTTTCAGGGTTAGCTTAACCCTTTCCTTATTTTTCCTTTACCGATACTACGACGAAAGAACTCCTCTCAGTAGCATTTGCAAAAATGAATAAGGGCTTTAATCCTCAGATTCCTCAATTCAAGAAGGAAGCGCTTAAGGCGAGAGTAGAGGCTAAGAAACGCCCAACAGACAAGGCTAATCTAAAAGATCGCAGTTCGAAGAAAGGTAGAATGGAGGCTATGAGTCCGCTAGAGGTGTTGAATCAACATATGCAAGAAGACCTGTGTTCCTCTTCACCATCGAATCAGATCGTCATTGTGACGAAGGATCTTCCATCCCTCTCCACCAAGAAGGAAGCGATTATGGGGAGGTTTAAAGCAAAGAAACGTTCCTCAAAAAAGGTGAACCTCAAGACCCATATCTCTAAGAAGGTTCGAATGGAGGATGTGGTCCCTCAGGAGGTGCTAAATCAACTCATGCAAGAAGATCAGAGTTTTGATCTTCTCGCGAATCAGATTCTCTCTAACTCTTGCTTTCCTTCTCGTACATCTTATAGGGATAAAATTTTAGCACTAAAAGATATATCTATGGACTTAGGCGATGATAAAATTCTCAGATCTGTAATGGAGGATTTTGATGTCCCTCCAAAAGAAGGGGTGGATGCCTCTGATGTAAATGTTACTAACGATCTTTGCCCTGAGATTAGAATCCTTTCGGAAGACTATGAGCAATGGTGTTCACCTTGGAAATATACCCTTATAGTAAAGATCTTAAGAAAATCTACAAGTTTTAACTTTTTAAACCAGAAATTGGATACTCTGTGGGGGGAAAATGAGAACCTAAAAATTTTAGACCTGAAAAATGACTATTACTTAGTGAAATTTGACAAAACTAGAGGACTACAAATTTGCACTTTTTGGCTAATTTTATATCATTATCTCCTGGTCCAGAGGTGAAGAACTCTTTTTTTATCCAAGGGCTATAATCTTAAAAAAATTGTAGCATGGATTCGAATCCTTGACTTACCTCTAGAATTATATAATCAGAAATTTTTATGGCAAGTAGGGTCATATCTGGGGACAATGTTAAAAATAGACCAATACACTTTTTTAGTTTCTAGAGGGAAGTTTGCTAGAATATGTGTGGAATTAGACCTAAATCAAAAGTTGGTTCCTTCTTTCAAAGTGTTAGGTCAGAAATTTAGAGTAGAGTATGAGAGTTTACACTTAATTTGGTTTAATTGTAGCAGATATGGTCACATAATGGACCTTTGTAGTGAGAAGCCTGATTTTAACTCTAATATTCAACACTATATTACAAATTCGTCCGAATCCATAGTTAATAAAAATAATGGAGAAGATTCTAGAATAATTACTACTGAAATTAATACATACCCTAGCCCAGAAGATGAGATTGAGGATGTTAAGGGCAAATTCAGCCCTTGGATGATAGTCAAAAAGCCCATTAGAAAGAAACTTGGTTTATCTAGGAATACTAATTCTCTTATCCCTACTGAAAAAGGTTAGGATCCCATGCTGGGATCTCATTTTGATGTTTTGGGCGATGTTAAGACTAGAGAGATGCATAAAATGACTTATGACTCTGAGATCACACTAGGGGATCAGCATGTAGATAGTACTAAAGAATCTAATAAGGGTAACTCTAATAGATTTAATCATGTAGGGAAAAGTGGCCTAAAAAACCTTGTTCCTAGCAATTATAAGAAAGTAACTTAGCTCAATCACAGCATGCAGCCAGCCAAAGTTCATAAGGATCCCAAGGAGGGTTTGTTGCCTATAGAACAGAACCCACATCTCCCTGAGGATAATTCTTCAAATAGGAAAAATAATTGGAAAAAGGACATTTTTCCTATAATGAAGTATATGGAGAATGAGATTATCTAGAACTCCCACACATTCCCTGGAAAGGATATAGAGAGTGAACCCCCTAACCCAGGACCTAGTATGGATATACATAAGCCTATTAGTAGCACTGAGTGGTTAGTCTCTAGATCTGAGCTGGAATCCAGCATGCTTTTGACCAAGCATCCTGAGGATGCCTCTTAGCCCAATATGTATAGATTTATGAGCAAAACTTTTCCTAGGTTAACTAATTATTTGGTGAATATTTACAAAGTAGACTTTCTTGGTTTATTTGAACCTCAGGTTAGTAAGGATAAAGCTGACAACATAATTAACAAAATTCAATTAAAAAGGTGTGAGAAAGTGGATGTTGTTGGTTTTTCTAGGGGCATTTGGTGTCTTTGAAATAATAATAAACTTAGGTACCAAATTTGCTATTCATCTAAAAGTTAAAACCTTGGATAATAAGGAATGGGTTTTATCCTCCATCTATGTTAAGCCTATAAATAAACTTAAAACTGAATGCTGGAGGAAATTAGTTGAGTTCAGTAAAAATATCATTGGCCACTAGTGCCTTGTTGGAAATTTTAACACTGCTCTCTATAATACATAGAAGAAGGGGGGGAAATAATACTAATACATACTAGATAAAAAAAATTGTCAGTTGTTTAAATAAGTGTAATCGGTTTGACCTTGGGTTCAAAGGCAACCCTTTTACTTGGCATAGAGGTAACTTAATAGTGAGAATAAATATGGTAGTTATAAATGATATATGGAATCAGATCTTTTCCAACAGTTCTATGGTTCATATTTCTATCCCTAAGTCTGATCATATTGGTCTACGACTTAAAATTAGGGCTAATGATAGTAAAATGAATTGTAATAATACTCTTTAAATTTTTAGCTCCCTGGATTTCTCTAATGTGATATATTTTAGGTTTATATTTATAATTTTATTTTAATTTATAAACATTTTTAATATGCTTTATTTTTAGAGTTTTTATCATTTTTTACTTATTGAAATAAATTGGGCCTATTACAAATAAATACATTAATTTCGTATTTTTTAGTAATTCTGACCTCTAACTACTCTTTCAGCCATAACTTTTTATATAGATATTATTTTTACCTGATTCTAGTTGCATTGGATTCTACACATCCAAGGCTTCAAAATTCATATATATAGATTGCTAGATTTGGAGTTGATTTTGATTTTTTTATAATTTTTTGAAGTTGAGGCAGATGTGCTTGTAGTTATAATTAAGGCCTGAATTTTGGCCATTTAGTTTACCTTAATCAATGCTTATAAATAGACTAATAAGGTTTTGATTTA